ACCATGGATGAGGTGAGGGATCATGGGAGAAAAATGGAGAAATGAAACGAAAGAAAAAAGTATAATCAAGACAGAGACTGACGAAAGACAGAGGTTCAGCTGGTTGGTGAAGCAGTTATCCACATAAAATCTATTCACTGCAATTGAAGAATTCATTACTTCAGTCACATATTCAAAAAAATCTAGTCCTTGATGTCAAAGATCTATGTTGGAGCCTTCCTTTCTGAGCTTTTAATCTAGATAAGGTCAAAGGTATGTGGAAACTGCAATCATATGTGTAATAACCAATTTAGTGATATGTAAAATCTTAAATAAAATCATCATTACTTTTACTTTCACTTTCTGTACAGTTATATATTTGGCCTAAGTTTTTTTTTTTAGCAGACTGAAGACAGGTTAAGCCATAATCAACAGTTATACTAGGCAAGTGTTTAAAAAAAACTTACTGAGTCACACCATAAATAGGATATACAATCTGCTGCAAGAATGTAATCATAAGAAGTTATTTTTATTTTCTCAAGATCAACATTTAACTTTTCAAAAGCCCTTAGCACCACTGGTGAACTTGCTTCATGAGAGGAAGCCATACTGCAACCTGCCACTTAAAAATGGCAGCACAAGAACGAGCGGTCTGCTGAGAGTGGGCATTAGTAACTTATGCTGATTTTTGCAATTGATTTATGGAACATAGTTCAAGATGTAAAGAAAACCCATTTATTTACAAGATGAAGGACTCTGCCTGTATCTTTCACTCTATAGCCAGAGTACAGTAAGAGCACTTAATAGACACTCTCAGAGATGCAGTTGTTCAGTGCCAACTTTTTTTGTTTTTAAACAAGAACAAGGAGAAAGAAGCTATTAACCTTCATCCAAGGGGAGTATCACCACTGTCATTTGTAACAACACCACCAATTGTAACAATACTACTAAAAGAATCAGTGGGAGGTGTGTCAGAATTGGCATTTGGGACTACAAGCACAACCCCATCGAAGCTCTTGCCACTCCCAACTCCAGTTACCGCTACTGCTGCTGTCGCTACCTTGGAGCAGAGAGAGTATATAGTGATGTGCTGTAAGGAACTATGTTAAGAAACAGCTTTTATAGGTAGGCATTAACAGCCAAGCGCTATTAGGAACGGAGAGAAGACTCTCCTAAGGGATGAGAGAAGCGGACAGGGAATATTTCTGAACAAATACAACATTTCAAAAAGGGCTACTATGACTGAACTACAGAATTCACTTGAGATCGAACTCCCATTTTGCTAGGCACAATATACGCGCTGGTTAATTACCTAAGTACAGTACTTAAACAGTAAACAAGTATCTCTAAATATCTTCCGAGGCTTCAATCAATTCTTGCCCTTAGCCTTGGGAGTAACACTGTCACCAAGTAATTACACGTGCAAATATGCAGATGCAAATTTTGGAGGCTGTCTGTGTTCACTTACAGCAGGTATCAGATGATCTGAATGACTGAATAGCAATGACTATTCAATTCAACTCTGTAAAGGAAATATTAGGTGTAAAAAGATATGTGCATGTATGCCCACATACAAAAGCACATGATGTGGATGTAACTCGAATACATCCTGCATGTTTTCTCAGTGCAGCTCTTTGTGTAAAAACAAAAACAATACTACACAAAATGATAAAATAACTAAGCAGTAAGAGATAATTTTCAAGGATGGAAAGAATCTGGAGTGTGGGGTTGTAGTTCCTCATCATTATTCCAAGTCATTAATCAAGACAGCAACAGAAATCAGTAAAGAAAATAATGACAACATTGAAATAACAAACCTTAAATTTCACGAAATAGGAAACGATCAAACCTATTCCAAATAAACAATGTATATCATGTAGAGAAAAATGAAATGTCAATTAAATGCTGAAATCTGTTTCTGGAGCTAATTTTTGATAGGACAAATTATGGAATGCATTTTGCTAGTATTTTTGTTATCTCTTCTGACATTACTTTATATCATTATAACAAATCCACATTTCTATATACATTTGTTAATTCCAAATTGATAAAAAATGTCTTTCGAAAATAATTATTTAGACATGCTTTAAATAAAAAAAAAGCAGTAACAAGAAGTTTAAGGCTCTGAAGAATGGTAGGAATCATATTGTGGTAAGTTTCATAATCATAATATCCCAGAAAGACGGGAGTGAAAGAGCAGCAGCATTAGCAGAAATAGGTCATCAAAAGACTGTGTCTGATAAATTATCAAGTGAACTTTACACCATGAGCAATTTTATACTAGCTTCAAAACCTTTTCACAGTCAGATTATCTTTCTGTTGTGTATACCGTATTTGTAAAGAATTCGTAGTGGTTGCAAGAGATCAAGTTTTCCTACTTAGCCCCCAAATAAATACCCACATTTTAGCTGCTAGTTTCGTGTTCATGGAACACCAGTAGTTTTTGCTGATGTTCACAGGGCTTTTCTCCCTGCATAAAAAATTGGGATTTTGACCCACCAGCTACAACATAATCACTTCTAAATTATTTAATGTTAGAAAGTGGCTCCAAGATAGAAAAAAGTACTATCTTTCAAGAAACTAGACTGTTATAATGTAAGTCTTCTTCCTATAGCTACCACAATGATACAGAAGACATCACAGCATAAATCTTAAAACTCTTTTTTTTAACTTGAAAATTGATGAAAAGATATACCGTACGTGTTTTATGCCGAGTACCAGCTGAAGAACTTTCACAAATGACACAAGGGCAGATACAATTTAACCAACCTGGAACCAACTGTTGGAAAACTTTAAGCTTTAATAAGTATGAAGTTATCCCGGAGCTTATACGCCATTTTAGCTCATATATTTATTTTTCTTGATCAAACAGTTATTTTCAGCTTTACAGTAAACTACAGTGAATGCTCTGAGAACTCGCTTGTAACAGAAGATGACTAAACCCATTGTTACTGTAAACGCACCTAGAACTATATTGTTAAATGTATTCTGCATATCCATCTTCAGCCTTCAGATTCAATAAGCCGCTTAAATGTACATTCCCAAACTCTCAATTATGCAGCTTTACCTAATAACCGAAAGCTTTCAATGGCTTGGCTGTAATAATTATCAAAGGGAAAACACTCATCAAGCTTATTTATAACGTGCTGACCTTGTGTGTGTGATGTCTGCCAGCGTCTGGTTTCAATTTTTATCATGCCTTCTTCACGTTACACCTTGTTACCGGATAATAAACTCTTTACAGTGTTGAAGAGCATGATGGGATACTAAAAACTAAACGTAACCCGGGTTAAAACAACGCTTCGTTGTTACCCTGTTCTGCTTCACCAAATAAAACACAACACAGCGTCCTGACCTGAAAACCCTCCTCTTTCTGGTCACCGGCCCGTACGGGCGGTGCTCTGTGACCACTATCACCCTCACAGCCATAGTGCCAAAGCTGAAGTTCATTCACCGCGGCCGCGAGCGACGCCCGCAAACAGCCCTTCACATGCAAAGCCTGAAAATCTTCATTTCAAACCACCACGCTCGCCGTTCCCCAGGCAAACCCGGCTCCTCACCCTCCAGGCTGCCGGAGCTGCCGCCC